TTCATCCAGTCTTTCCGAGTACAGTGTACTATGCATTTCTGTCTCCCATGCATGCTATATGGTCTCCCTATCCCACCATCACTGATATGATAACACTAATATAGGGCAAGTAATGCAACTAAGGATGTTATTCATTATGCTGTTCCCTACAGACCCGGGTTCCTCTCCCACATTCTCCGAAACACCCCGTTCTCGACACCCTCAGTTTCACACCAGTAGAGAGCAACAGGAGAAACTAAATGTGTACATTTCAATATTTTCTTCTTAGATACTGCTTACCGCAATCTACTTCCGAACCCAAGAATGGTGGAGCTATACCTCCACGCCCCCACACGTCTTCATGGCGTGATGCTCAATTAATTAAGGGCAGGAACAACTTCGTCTTCTACTTTTTAGATAGGAGAGAACAAAACAAAATGTTCTGAGCTGGAGACAAGCATTTCCGGATTTCATTCTGATCTCATTTTAACACATAACGTAATTTTACCGAGCGGGTTGGCATTGCGGTAACGCTTCATATCCTTATTTAAGATGTCCTAGGTTAAGATCTCAGCCGGGGAGGTGGCTATCCTGATTAAACTCTTTTTCGTCTTTTTCTCTGCCTCTAGGAAAATGAAGGAATACTTTTTTTTGTCACAGTCTCTACCTTCCAGTTCATCATTCATTAACAATCCTACTGTTCTCGATCCTAGCAACGTCGTTAGATAATCCTACTATTATTGATCCTAGCAACGTCGTTAGATAATCCTACTGTTCTCGATCCTAGCAACGTCGTTAGATAATCCTACTGTTCTCGATCCTAGCAACGTCGTTAGATAATCCTACTATTATTGTTACTAGCAACGTCGTTAGATAATCGTACTATTTTCGATCCTAACAACGTCGTTAGATAATCCTAATATTCTTGATCCTAACAACATCGTTAGAAAATCCTACTATTCTCAATCCTAACAACGTCGTTAGATAATCCTACTATTATTGATCCTAGCAACGTCGTTAGATAATCCTAATGTTCTTGATCCTAACAACGTCGTTAGATAATCCTACTATTATTGATCCTAGCAACATCGTTAGATAATCCTACTATTATTAATCCTAGCAACGTCGTTAGATAACCCTACTATATTTGATCCTAGCAACGTCGTTAGGTAATCCTACTGTATTTGATCCTAAAAATTTCACCAAATAACCCACAGATGAAGTAACATTAATTTTTAAACTGTCATTCCCAAATATTACAAATTTGCTATATTTTCGAAGGATTTATTGGCGGTATTTATATATGAATATATACTTAGTTTTCCACTTATAGAGTACTGCAATATATTCTGGGGTTTGATGCCTTACATTGTACTCTCCATGGGCGCCTCCGTGAGGACTCGAATCGAACTTGACTTCCTTTCCGTTTACTTTTAGACCAATCACCTTATTAGCTCCAAACAGAGCGTCTGGCTTTTCTCTACGTTATCAGTATCACGTCTGCATAGACAGACAGACAGAAGAACTGCTGCTGTGGCTGTGTATCCCTTGTTAGGGGAAAGTTAGACAAGGGAGAGACGGAATGGGGTGGAGTTGCGTGCCGCAACACGCATGTAGGGGAGGTTTTCTTCTGACAGAACATGGAATGGGTAAAGTTGAAGGGTGGAGTTATGATGCAGTGTTTCTAGGGGTGGAACAGATAGAGCAAAAGCTGTGCACTCGTGGACGTGTGGCCGAACGGCTCTCAGGAAGCCTCCAACAAGCACGATGAGCAACTCAGTTAAGAGGCGGGATGGCGAGGACTGGTGAACGGGGAGGCTGCAGAAGACGTGGCCTGCGTTAGGGAGATTCACTCCGAGAGAAAGAACAAATCCATTGGAAATCTGATCTAATCATCCAAGCACAACACCTGATGTGAAGGGCTTTATTTCACAGGATTACATTAGAATATATTACTTTCTATTCGCGGTTACGTCCAAATGTTTCAGAAATGTTTACATGCGTAGGCATTTTTTTAATTAGTTTCTTCGAATTTACACAACTGCAACTTGTGGAACAAATTCGTCCTCGAGAAGGTAAAAGAGGCTCAGTAAGTCAAGAAATTTTGCGCCTTTTCTGAAACCTAGAGGTTCATTACCGCAATAACAACAGCCGTATCTTGAAATACATGAATGTCCTCCGCATCCCATTCCTGTAATAGTGTACTGCCATCTATCTTTAGGTCAGTGAACTTATAAAACGAATCCTATTGTGGCGTATAGACCCGTTGCTAAGCAGTGAATCTGGAAACAGCGGCCATTGCTAGGTAATGCCCGCAACGTGCAGGCAAGAAACAATAGAACGAGGTTATTCATCACGTTTCTAAGCAACGGATCGGTAAACACAACAATAGGGATATTGTTGGAAACGGTGTTTTCTGTTCGGTCCGTGCAAAGTGGTTATAGAAAAGAGATCAGTTGAGAATAATCAGTCGAAGTGTCGAACTGTTGCACTGCCACTGGATCGTAAGTCAGTATACTTCCGTGCTATTGCATTATCGTTGTTCACGGCTAAAACGTGTTTGTTTGAGAACGAAACTCTCTCCGTTCCTCGTTTTTTTCTTTGGCGCCGTACATGTTTGTGCCCCCTTCGTACGTATGTACTCACTAGCTGGGTGTTTCAAAAAGTGAACAATTGGCTGAAGATGGCCAAGTAGGGTCGAAACATGTAGCAATTGATGACATTTTAATGCTATTTCAAATTAAAGAGAGCCGATCACGGTAGCTGAGCGGTCTAAGGCATGCACTGTCTTCGCTCGCTCGGAAGCCGGGATCGTGGGTTCGAGTCCCACACAAGGCGTGGATGTTTGGTGCGTGTGTATGCGTTTACTCTGTGTTTGTGTTATTCTGTGTTTAGGCAGAGGCCTTGCGACGAGCTGATCACCGTCAAAGGAGTCGTACCGTCTGTAAAAGTGATCATGAAATTGAGAAATCAGTCCTGTGCTCCAAAGCGGGAGCCAGATTGTGAAGAGCTTTAAGTTACATTAAAGACGAAGACGAATGAGAGAGCGACGTCTGTATTTGCCTGTAACACTGAGCCCGACGTTGCACAAGTCGTATGGTTTGTGGGTCATATCGGTTAGCCTCTACGTGCAGTGTTGGATGGTAGAAAGGCAGGAGGAGGGAAAGTTAGACAGGGTATGGAAGCAAATGGTCATGCCTTAGTAGAGGTACTATCCCAGTATATGAAGGAGGAGGCTGAGAAAAACCACTAAACATCTCAGTCAGGAGTTAGTGTCCTGCCTAAGCTTCAAATTCAGGAACTCTCGAACCGAAATCAAGAGACGCATCGCTAGACCAGTTTGTTGCCACGCAAATGAATTCTCAATGCATTAAGTAGCGAAAGCTAATGTCACGTATAGACCCATTCTGGTCGTGATCCTCAAGGGGCCTGACGCCAAGACGAACTGATTGGAGGTAAGCCGCCAGTCATGAAGTAACTCTGACTCCCCAAACACCACCCGTGTGGAGGCGGGGTCGAATACCTCCACCGTGATCCTGCGTGTCGTAGGAGGTGACGAAAAGGGAAGTCTCAAATTTGAGACAGTAAAATATGGTCGCGAGTCCCAAGGGACTCGGACCCAAGAAAGACTGCGCTGGCAAGGGCCAGCAGCATATACAAAAGACAGACCCGTCCTCTCGTCAGAGAGGGCGCCCCAGAAGAACAAGACCGTAACTGTCAAACAGTAACAAATATCTGGTCATGATCTCCAGGAGGGTGCTCGACACCAAGACTTACTGACGGGCTAGCCGTCAGTCGCAGTGTGACTTTGACTTGACTCCCCAAACACATGGTGTTCATCTAGCCCTGTTTGCAGATAACACCTGTCTGTATGCGACAGATCGCAGTGAGGGTTTTGCTATTAAGTAGAAAACTGCAGCGCGGTCTCAGCTCAATGGCGACCTGGTGTGAGCGCTGGAATATCAAAATTAATGAAGCTAAGGCTCAGGGAATTCACTTCTCTATCAGTCTTCGTCCGCCTGTGTATCATCTTGCATTGAATGGAAGCTATAGTCCATTTGTAAACTGTGTAAAATATCTCGGAGTAATCTTTGATAGGAGGGTTACATGGAGATTGCACATAGAAATGATCGAAGCCAAGTCCTTCAGAACATGTATAAGATTGTACTCCATATTCAAAAGTGAGTGATTAAGCGCTACCATTAAGCTGACCCTCCACAAAGCTCTCATTAGATCCGTAATGACTTATGCTAGTCCCGCCTGGGAGTTTGCGGCAGACACCCATCTAGTGAAATTGCAGCGCCTGCAATACAAGGCTCTCCGCACCATTGGCAATTTTCCAAGGCACACACCGGTCCGCGATTTGCACGTGGCTTTCATTGCTCCGTACGTATATGATTATATAACAAAATTGTGCAGGCTAAAAGCAGAAGCCATACAAAATCACGACAACGAAAATGTTCGTAAAATTGGACAAGGCGAAGCCCAGCATAGAAAACATAAAAGGCTTAAACTTGGCGGCGGTCAAGCATACGACCGTTCAAGTGACTAGACTGCCATTATAGCGGAAGCCACTAGAAATAGGGCATAATCTGCTGTACTCAAACTGGACTTACAGAGGCCCTGTATATATTTTATATACATTTATTAACATGTTTAACATGTAAAATGTAAATATCCTTTACATTATGACATGACTTACTGCTGCAGACAATGACTCTGACAAAGACAAAGCCGTCTTCTCGTCAGAGAGGGCGCCCCACAAAAACGAGACCGTACCTGTTAAACAGTAGTGAAGATCTGGGGCTCGACACCAAGACTGACTGACTGACTGACTGACCGTCAGTCGCAATGTGAGATTGACTTGATTGTGATTAAGAGTACAAGGCATGATCAGTAAAGCCAATTACCAATCAAAACCCCGTCTTATAAATCACCCAAACACGTGACACCACGTTATTAGAATTTCATGATTAAGTAGGCAGACAAGCAAGAATAAATTGTAAAAATATTTCTTTCTGTAACACAAATGCTTTTATTGACCATTTCAGGTTAGTAGTAAAACATGGTTTCCTTGAGAAGTCCTTAATATCTTATAATCGCTTTTAAATACTGGAAACTGTATTGAAACTCTATATTATTTTAAAATGAAAATAAAATACACATATGTTTGCATAAAGTATCATGCGCTAAAATCATTGGAAACAGTAAATTATTTCAAATACAACACACTTTATATCATGCATTGGGAATTCTCATAACAAAACTACATGCAATCTTTATTTTAAAAATAACATGCATTCTGACTGCTCACGTAAGTTTAAGTCTGATGTTTACTGGACTCGAAAACGCTTCTACGTTAAGTTTCATGTAGCATTTTCACAGAATTCTCTGACATTGTTAAGAATGGTTTAGGATATAAGTGTTTTAGCACCATCATGGTATTTGTTATAAAAGATATTTAGTTCAAATTTTCTACATTACTCTTATATTTCATCTGTGAACCCAAAAGTCCTCAAGATTACATTAATAAAATTGATGATGATATTCCTGATGTCATACGGTTTTATGCTAAAATGTATTGACGTGTCCGACACACGTAATCGGAAGGAATTGTGTGAAGCACTTGTAAAGGACTTCAGTCAGTTTAGAACTGTCCTACACTTTCTTAGTTTCTTGAAAATAATTTGCACTCAACAATATACAGTCAGTGAAAGATTATTAACTTTCACAAAATTTAAAAATGTCATCCAGTCACCGTTTTGAACGCCAGGCCAACTGCTAATATTTCCAAGCAAAGTCAAATGGGGACAACTGTTCATTAATAACCATACCGTCTCCATGCTCAAGTATCCGCAGTGGTCAACGATAAATTCAGTGAGATTTCTGAATCCGCCAACCGTCACAATTTCACCGATGTACTCATCAGTTACTTCTTCCATGCCCAAGATGTTTAATATATTCAGATTGACGTACAGGTGAAAGACAAATGTGAATCCAGAGTGTCCCCAGTTGTGCCTTAATCTTAACTCTGTAAGGTTTTGAAAGTGTGGCAATTTACGATAGCGTGTTTCTCTATATGTGATGTGACAATAACTGATGACAAGTGTGTTCAGAACAATGCAATAATTAATTAAGTCATCCATGTTTATGTTCATGACCTGGTACATTTCTAACCTTGTTAGAGTTTGGCCCAGTCGACTAATGACATTACGAAACCTAATAGCCGTACAGCTCGTTAGCAGCATGAGAATATCAGTGACACATCTCAGTTCGCCCAGGCCTGAAACATCCTGAGTAAGGGAGGCCAGCTTTACTTCAGTTAGATTTGGGCAATTTCGAACAAGCAATTCTGCATCTGAAAATTTTCCAGTAAACGTCCGCACTGAAGTAAGAATCGTCGATAAATTCATTAGTACAGGGTCAATTATATCAAGCCACACGACATTCTGAATTTCTGGCAAACCGGAAAGAAGAATTCTGTATCCGATATTAGAAACTGATGTGTCAGCGACATTCAGACTACACAGTTGTCTGAACTTCAGCAAGTGTTCTACACAACAATCATCCACAAGTCTTGAATCTTGGACAGACAGGTGCTTCATATGACGGCAATATTTCGATAACTCGACGATAATCTCTCTGGTACAGCCAACGTGAAAGTAAAACTCCTGCAAATTAGTCAAAATCTGGATTCTTTCTACAAAGAGCTGCATGTAGTTAAGGTCCTGTACTGATGGCATGACCAAAACTTTAATGTTTGGGATAACAAACAGCAGTTCGATTAAAAGCTCTCGCACAAAATCAGAGTCCGTACTTTCTATAGAGCACCTCGACATGCAAGGCAGAAGTACGGCTTTTAACATGTGTGTGCAAACATCGCGATGAATTTTCCCGTCTTCAGGTCTGCTGACACGCGGAGTGTTAATGTTGTTGTCGTAAATTTCGAGGATTTCCGTGAACTCCTCGATGGACTCTGGGACAATGAACTCTGAAATTAAGGGCACGGGTAGGGAGGCGAGGTTTGCGCGCACCACGACACACTCTTCCTCCACAGACTTGATCTCTTGGAGCCAGCTACTCCGGCTGATAACGGCAGCTGAGCGTAGTCTGTGGGTCCAGTTGACCCCTGCTCCCCGCACCATCAGACAGAATTTCTGATACGCCATGTCTTGTAGACGTGGAGGGTCTTTTCTTCTGTTCATGACGCCTTCTGAAACACAGAAATCATCACTCACAGCTGGAGAAGTAGCTGAAATGCGTATCGAATGAAATCAATGGGTCCTCAGACTTCTCCAGAGAAAGAGCATCTTCCCACGGACTTACACTAGAGTTCTGCTGTCAAGGAACAGCCACTACGAAAGACTAAGTTTATGGAAGAGGGTACACTTCAGGGGCATTGTGTATCTCTTCTGGCAGAACGGAGGGGTAAGGTCTGTGTTTGTGTGTAGAGGCTCGCAGACTAGATACTGTCGCGTGCCAGGAATTCGGAATGTATTGTCACGTGACGAAATGACCGGTTATAGTTCGGATGATTGGATTTATTAACAGCTTGGTTACAGGCAGATACACAGCGATATCGCTGACTTACATACCGCACCGTCGCACACACAAAGTCATCTAAATCACCCTTGGCATCCTCACAGGGTGACCTGTATTCCAATTGCTTCTGCTGTAGTCACTTCCAGATTTCAACTGCCTTCAGCGGCTGCCATATTGCAGCTGGCACTGAAAGCTGTCTCGATTCCATTCACTCGATACAACTCAAAGTCAAAGTCACATTGCGACTCACGGTCGGTAGGTCGGTCGGTCGGTCAGTGTCAGTCAGTCAGTCTTGGTGCCCCCCCATCTGGGGCTCATGACCAGATATTAATTATTACCGTTTGACAGTTACGATCTTATTTTTGTGCGGCGCCCTCTCTAACGAGAGGACGGGTCTGTCTTTTGTACATGCTGCTGGTCCTTGCCAGCGCAGTCTTTCTCGGATCTGAGTCCCTTGGGACTCGCGACCATATTTTACTGTCTCAGATTTGAGACTTCCCTTTTCATCGCCTCCTAAGACTCGCAGGGTCACGGTGGAGGTATTCGACCCCGCCTCTACACGGGTACTCGATACAACTGAACTCGGCGAATGTGCTTATCCCTTCATATAGGCCTCTCACGGACCACACAGAAAACAGATTATATTGTTGGACGTGTTTACCAACCGATTGCCTAACAACTGTCGCTACACCGACTCCACGGTTGCTGGTCTCAAACCCGAGAAAGACTGCGCTGGCAAGGGCCAGCAGCATATACAAAAGACAGACCCGTCCTCTCGTCAGAGAGGGCGAAGACCGTAACTGTCAAACAGTAATACAGATCTGATCGCAAGCCCCAGATGGGCGCTTTATGCCAAGACAGAGTGGCCGACTGACCGTCGGTCGTAACATGAGACAGTTGAAGTTTGAAGCTTACCCTAGAAGACCAGCCAGTCTTCAGGTAGCTCCGAGGGAACAGAAGACTTCACCGAGATTAGCTGTGCAAGCAGTAACTGTAACAGTGTTGTAACAAGCGTCTGGCGACTTTATGATTGGATGACAATTGTACTTGGAAGTGTGGAGGAGCTCGGCCAATAAACTTATTCGCTAAATCTGAGACCCGCGTGAATCTATTTGTCGCGTTACATAGGCAACACGCTACAATGCGCTTTCCTTCAGCCTGAAGCATGCCACTGCGCAGTCTGCAGAAACACACGTACGTTTCTACCTGAAAAATGTATTGTAACGTTACTTCAGCGGAAACGAAATCCCAGACGGGCCGTTGCCTGAGAATGCCTTGGGCAACAACCGCGTTTCCCCGGAAACGGAAGGTTCGTTGAGAAACCAAACACGTTACCGGTATTCTACAAGGTATCGCATTTCCGAGAAAACAGAAGGTGCATTGCGTAGCAACGGCCGAGTCAGTCCGAAGACAGCTGAACTCTAGCCAGCGCAGAAGAGAGCTGGAAGATAGCCGCCGCAGAAGGCAGTTGAAGATTGTGATACTGGCGACGTTATAAGGTGATATTATTTGTACTTGAGTGTGTAAAAGTTAGCGTTCAATTCGAGACCCACGTGAAGTTATTTGCCGCGCTGCATAGGCAACACGCGACAGTATGTGTACAAGAATGATCCAATGACGATCCTGGCAACACTGTCACCCGAGAAACGAGCCCAAATTTATTTTCATTTCAATGAACGGGACAGGAGTGAGCTAACATGACGCAGATCCCTACTAGGAACGAACAGGAGAGAAGAGGGCTACATGCACGATATTGGTGGCCTTCTCGGCCCTGGCACCGCGACCTATAGTGGTCTGTTGTGCTTAGATTGGTGGCAAAGTCAGAATGAAATAGGCCACTAGGAATAATATTATACTATTCAAATGGATCTTAGAGAGGTAGGATTGGGTGGTATTGGCTGTCAGGATAAAGACCAATGGAGGGCTCTTGTGAACACGGTAATGAACCTTCGGGTTCCATAAAATGCTGGGAAGTTCTTGAGTAACTGCACAACTGGCGGCTTCTCAAGAAGGGCTCAGCTCCATGAAGTCAGTCAGTAAGATTTCTAATAGAGGGGATATGAAAGTGTTAAGTCAGTTGAACTTCTTCAGGAAATTGTTCAGTGTCGAGCTCAAGTTCATCTTCAAAAAGCATTTCTTGACAAGCTGCCTGTAAAGCTTTGCAGGAAAATGTGCTCCATGAAGCATCATAGTGTAACAACTTAGTAGTGCTGTAACGTGGATGGACACAGCGTTGCTAGGTAAATGACCGCGAAACACCTCGCGACCGAATATACGCAAGGCAACAAAGGGAGTGCGGCGTTTTCTATGGAGTCCGTGCCTCGACCGTTGTTATGCAATTTGTCGGTAAACACGTTCCAACAATATAGGCTATTTTCTGTGTGGTCTGCGAGAAGCCTATGCAAGGAGGTTCAATACACCAGACGAATCTGAGTTACTTGGACAGAGTTATTCTTCCGTGTGGAGGCGGGGTCGAATACCTCCACCGTGACCCTGCGTGTCGTAGGAGGCCTCGAAAAGGGAAGTCTCAAATCTGAGACAGTAAAATATGGTCACGAGTTCCAAGGGACTCGGACCCGAGAAAGACTGCGCTGGCAAGGGCCAGCAGCATATACAAAAGACAGACCCGTCCTCTCGTCAGAGAGGGCGCCCACAAAGCAAACCAAGACCGTAACTGTCAAACAGCAATAACTATCTGGTCATGAGCCCCAGATGGGGCTTGACACCAAGATTTACTGACTGACTGACATTCAGTCGCAATGTGACTGGCATGACTGACAGCAGTCGCCGAGAACACGTGACCGAGAGCAGCGAGAGTTGTGATAGTGACGAAGAAGCGTGTAGAGGACATTACAAATGGCAATAATTGGGACACTGCGAATTGCGTAAGTGTAAAAGCGAGTGCCCAATAAACATTCGCCAAATGCGAGACCTGCTTGAAGTTATATGTCGCGTGACATAGGCAACACGCGACAGTGCGAATGGAAGCAGTGTACGCAGTTCATCTTGCCATGTTGGAAGCATGACTCTGCAAAGTTGTCTCATCTACTGCTCCAGTTTCAGCACAGATGCCCTTTACGAAGAACTGTGGCCAGAACCGGGAGTACAGTGTACACTGACCTTGTGCAGTGGAAATTAGTGCGAAGAACACGAAATGCTTAGGAATGTTTGGCCTGTCTTCCACTAACGACCTCTTTTGTGGCATCATGGTCACTACGAGCGGATGGAAACAGTTCCGATAGCAGGATGCAAGGGTGAATGCTCCTCATTTTATATATGCCAAGTTTCGGAGGCACTCGTCTGCAAATCTCATAGCGTCGGGCTGTTTGTATTAGCGTGTCCTGCCTCGAACGGAAGAAAAGGGCCGGGTGTTGATGTTCAATTTTCGATGTCCGTACTTGGGAGTGCTTACCGACAGGCTAGATATTGTCACGCGAGTAAGTGTGACTATAGACAGGGTTGGATTCGTAATCGGATATATTGAACTCTTACAGATCCTTGACTGCAAGTAACTACAGCCCTTTCACTAACTCACACACTTTACAGTTCACTAGAGCACACATTTAAGTCTTCTCTGCCTGCTCTGTCTTCGCCAGTCGTTGTCTGGTAACGGCTTCCAACGGCGGACGTTCCCCTTCCTCTGGGTTCCCTAACTAACCTCATGTCTCAGCTACAGCAACTTCCGACTGACTACTTCAGTCACTAACTGACTAACTCAGTCACCCATCAACTAATGGGCTCACCCTCAAAGCATGAAAACTCTTCTAAACTGAAGGAGTTAGCCCGTTCCTTCGAGAAGTTGATCGCCAGTTGCCAAGCTACAAAACACTAGAATAGCGATATGAGGGTTCAAAGTAAGAATTCTGGAAAGATAATAAACGTACACTGCTAGGTTACGGCACGGTAAACACGCCAAGGGGCCATTATGCGAATATTCGCTACTACGCAAGGTCAGTAACGATGACATTACTGCAGTAACAGTTACGCACACATCAATAGAAGAATAATTGGATACGGTGTTTTCTGTGGGGTCCGTGCCGAGGCCTGCGAGTCGTAGGAGGCGACGAAAAGGGAACCCAGTGCCTGGGGGTATAACTGGACCACCCTGTTCCTGGGGGATGTAAATACGAGGACCTGACACTCCAGGTTGGGAGAATCTCGAATGTGAGACAGTAAAATATGGTCATGAGTCCCGAGGGACTCGGAACTGAAAATGACTGTGCTGACTAGGTCCAGAAGCAATTGTAAACGATAGGTCCATACTCTTGTCATAGGGGATGTTATATAAGGTCTATGGCCGCAATTGATGGTCGTGACCTCAAGGGGCTTGACACCAAGACGAATTGATTGGCAGTAAAGTAACTGCGACTGCATTATTCCCGCTGGTTCAATCCGTTGCTTAGCAAATGCATTATTCCCGCTGGTTCAACAATCCGTTGCTTAGGAAGTGCATTATTCCCGCTGGTTCAATCCGTTGCTTAGGAAATGCATTATTCCCGCTGGTTCAACAATCCGTTGCTTAGGAAATGCATTATTCCCGCTGGTTCAATCCGTTGCTTAGGAAATACACTATTCCCGTTGTTACACAATGCTTCTAACAATTCGTTGTAACCGTGGAGACTCATTGTTAGAATTACGATATTGTGTTGCTTCCGGCGTCTAGGAATGGGTGCACTCTGATTGTAGCGCTGCAGCGGGAACATGGATCGTTGCCTAGGAAGTCACGGTTTGGATATGCACGTTACAATATTTTCACGAAATTTTTACAATGTTTGTTCTTATGAACTTTCATTGATAATCAATATTCCGCTAAAATGTGCATAATTTTGTTTATATTGTGACGTGGATGGGGCAACGGGAAGTGGGGGTCACGTGAACTCTGCGTTTCCTCTAGTGACGTCACATACCCCAACTCTTCCCACCAGTACGCAGAGCTAGGTAACCCCCCCCCGTCCCCTGGCGGTGACATGGCAGAGGAGTGAACCATAACCACGGCATTCCTTGTTACGTCATCGCTGCAATGGTTGCCTGGGGCAGCCGCTCCTCTTCCATGTCACCAGGGGGGGGGTTCCGAGCATTGCGTACTGATGGAAAGAGTTGGGGTATGTGACGTCACTCGAGGAAACGCAGCGTTCACGTGACCCCCACTTCCCGTTGCGCCATCCACGTCACACTATAAACAAAATTTTGGGAAAAAATGAAACTTTACTATTGAAAAATGACCTATAAGACGCAAGATGTAAGAGTTTGCGATTCACAGCAACAGTTTTTTTTTAATTCGCTAAGGGGGGTGTGGGAGTCCAACTGGGTCCACTCGGCACGGCGGCCACTGATTGGCCTATTGTACCTGCCCGGATGATTATGATGGAGAATTTGGTGAAATGAATATTGGCAAAGGGAAACCGAAGTACTCGAAGAAAAGTCGTCCCAGCGGCACTCTGTCTACCACAAATCCCACTTGACCAGACCCGGGATCGAACCCTGGCCGCCGCGGTGGAAAGCCAGCGACTACCCGCTTGAGCTATGGCGCGGCCGACACCACCAAATACTACAGGGTGATTCTCTCTCTAGGAAACCCAAACATTCCTCAAAAACTTTTTTATTTTTGTATGGTTCACTATGAAGACTGATATGTACATAATTTGTATGTTGCAAAACAAGGCCTGCTTAGAGCATATGCTGAAAATGGCCCCCCCCCCAGCATCGAAGCACTTTCGTATGCGAGTCTGCAAATTGGCGAAGACATCTGGTAAAGTGACATCGGTAGTGGTAGCAAACTTCCGCCATATTGCATCTTTGTGGGCGTCAGAATTTCGCGGGTTATTGCTGTATACACGGCCCTTTAGTAAACCTCACAAGAAGAAATCATGTGGTGTGAGGTCTGGTGATCTTGGCGGCCACAGATTTTTCAAAATTAATCGGTCACCGAAATAACTTTTCAATTTAGCGCAATCTTGTTGAAAGTAAGCATCGATAAATGTAAGCTTTGTCCATGTCAATTTTCATAGGGAACCATACAAAAACTAAGAAGTTATTGAGGAATGTTCTGGTTTCCTAGCGAGAGAATCACACTGTACAAATGCAAGTACTGGAGTCAGTTACTGCATTACACGGAGCGGTAAGTTGTTTGGTAAAAGCAGACCCGACGTTTCAGTAGCGTAGTTAGTTTTTCTGTACTAGGGCGAGGAGTTGCGTTACTGCGCTCAGAACGGGCCACGTTAATGCTAGAAATGCTGCGGAACGGAAGTGGGCGAGTTCGATTGGTCTGCCTTAGGTTTCTCAACAGTAACTAAACCATACGTGGTCATGCTGTGTAGACTTGCTTTCGCAGTTTTGAGGGCTGCATACAGCGAAGGTGAAATATCCAGTTTACGTGAATTGGTTCCTCAAGCGTGTTTAGAAACACAATCCACCCGAGTTCAAGTACATCAGTTTTTATTTTAGTCTTCGCTGCGTATTTGATGTCGCAATCCACTCTGCGTTCAAAATATTTTCTAAATAGAATTACTTTCACAAACCTCAAGAAGTGTGCATGAAGCCCCTACCTCTTATCCCTCCAGCGCAATCCACAAGCGTCCCACCTCAGAGCTGACGGCCGACTGATTGATCTGCAGTGCGGTATGATCACAGCATATGCACCATGTCCAAAGTAGAACAGAAATTTCCCTCTTTAGATAAATTTCAAATTGAAGGCGTGTGCGTTCAACTGTTTCACAAATATTGCAGCGCGACAAATGTTCCCATTTTTCGATAACCCGTAGGAAATGAAATGTTCTGCACAATTTTGGTGCTCTGATCACAAAAATGGCTCACGAACGAGTCAATTCTTTTTTCTGCGCTGTTCTATTTCTATCAGGGCACAACAATGCAGAGACTGCTTATTACACAGTTTTAAGCAATTATGTTTTTTAATGAAAGCTGCACTATGTTCACAAACGAAACACCCGCATCAAGGAAAAGACACAGGAAACTAAAGAATCACATGAATGCCAGAGCCACATTTTCGAGTGGCAGGGCAACCAAAGTGCCGAGGGGGGATACCTTCCGTGTTTCAATTTAGATGGATGCACATTGCATACCTGTAGACTGGGCCAAATATTAAAATAACACACCGATTCATCTTTGCTGAAACAGGAGGTAAAAGTAAAAAGAAAAGTAAATTTGTTCCTATGCTTAATTAAGCACTACGCCATGTAGACTTATAGGGGAGTGTGTGTATGGATCCATTTATGCCTGCTCTCGGCAATAGTTGTAGATAATTCGTCAACTTCGCGCCCCTGCTGCTTTGCCCCTGTACCCGTTGAACAGGGAGCTGGTTACCCAAGAACGCATCTGGATGACGTGGAGAGGAGACACATTTTTCACTTTCTGAGACTCGAAACCCTCGGCCGTTCAGCCCCTAGCCAGTCACTATACTGACTGAGCTATCCCAAGGGTTCGAATGGAATAGAGATGAAGGGAGGGCTGCGAAGGGACGCAATCGATAATGAAGTGCGGTGCGCTTGAAGAAGGGCAGTACTTGGTCGGAATATGGGGACGCCGTTGAGGTACAGTGACTGCTGGAGTTAAGTCTCGCCCTGTAGCCGGACACAGACAGACAGACAGCTTCAAGCATTGGCCTAGTCCTAGATACAGCGTGATAACCGGCAAATTATCCCCCAAGCCCCAAACAGTCCCAGATACTTTGTACTTCCTCTATGAATAGTCTTGTCACACGGCCCAGGGTAACCGGGACAGTCCCAGTTTTGGTTATAATGCCCCAGGGTCCCAGTTGGTTGAAAATAATCCGTCCGAGGACCTGTTTAACGTTTCGTAACATAATGATTCCTTAGGTGACAAGTTACTAGACCCACTCCCAACCTCAAATCTGGAGGACCACCCCTTCTCGACTGTACACGATTCTGTCTTCCGTACATTTGTAAATATCTCCGTATGTGGAAGCCCCATTCTTCATTCGGAAACCTGAGGACGCGCCTTGCCGTGGTGATAAAGGACGTACCATGTTTCCAATTGTTGTCTTGGTTGCGAAGCCGCTGCTCAGTAACGGCTGTTTTTTGCATTTGCTTCTCGCGGTCTTTGCCCAACACAATATATATAGCGTCGAATGCAAATCCGGAGACCTCAGCGTGTTCTGGTATAGACATGTTGAAGGGAAACCACAGTCGCACTGTGAAGAGGGAAATTTTTGACGTCCAATTCATAATTGTGTAGAGCGGCAGTCGGAGAAGAAATTGTACCAATATTTCCTTCTGATAAAACATTCGCTTTTACTGATCACCAGATTTTAATGGTAAAACACACTTTGTGGAGCTTTAAGTCCATAATATTGTGTTTCTTTCTCATCTTTACACAAAACCATATTAAAACAATACAAATTTTAAAAGCAAATAAAACAAACAATTATGTTTGCATAAATTATGATAGAACTAACATCTTCGGAACTGCACATCATTTGAAACACATCACACACATGCGTCATACACTCACGCAACTGCCATGTCTGCTTGTTACAGCAACCAAAAACGCCTCGTATTTAAATCAAAACATTCACAGAATTTGTTGACATCAGTCAGATTCTTAAAGAAACTATAACATGATGCGGTCGAGGGAAAACATAATAGCAATAATAATAATAATAATAATAATAATAACCTGTAACGCATGGCATTACACAAGAACTACGAATCAGGAATTACTTTAACGTTTCTTATAAGATTTATTATCATTATGTAGGCCTATATATATGAACTTAAAATTAGTAAGTGTTTGCCAGTAAATTCCTAATTTTGTTCCTGGTGTCATATGGCAATATATTAAAATGTATTCACGTGTCCAACACATGCCGTCTAATTTAAAAAAAAAGCACTAACCGGAAACAAATTTGCCGAACCACAGTTTTAATACCTGCAAAGCGATTCAATCGGCTGTAGCATTTCTAACTATCCTGTGCCCTCCTAGTCTGTCGGAAGAAAGTTGTGCTCAGTGACATACGGTGAGTGCGAGATTGTTATTTCTCACAAAATTTAAAAAAGTGACCTCTTCTTCTTTGGTGACGCCAGGCCAACTGCCAATATTTCCAAACTTTGCCAAATTGGGACAGTTATTCGTCATTAAATTTATTGTGCGCATGCTCAGGTACCCGCAATGGTCAACGACAAATTCAGTGACAGTTCTGAATCCGCGAACCCCTACAAGTTCAGCGAAGAACGCATCATTCATTTGGCTCATGCCAGCAACATGGAACACTTTGAGATTTACGTAGAAGTGCAGGAAACTGCAGAAATTAGATAGTCCCCTATTGTACCTCAATTTTAATTTTTTAAGGTTTCGGAAATGTGCTAACTTACAGTCAGATACTCGTGTGCATAAAGTGCTACAAGAATTAACATGGAGTTCATTAAGAACGGTGCAATAAAAAATTATGTCATCGATGTTCAAGTCTTCAACTTCATGTGTCTCTAAAACTGAAAGTGTTTCACCCAAACTGATAAGGGCATCACTCAAGCTAATAACAGTAGAGCTGCAGTTCCAAATCGAAAGACAAGTGACATTTCTTAGTTCACCGAGATCTGACATGTCATGAGTGAGAGAACGTAGTAGTAACTGCTTTACATTTGGTAATTTATCAACCAGTAATCCTGCATCTGATATTGTACCATCAAATTTCGTCACTGAAGGAAGACTTCGTGAGAGATTCGTTAGTATGACGTCAACTGAACCAGACCAGATAACTTCTTGAACATGTGGCAACAACAAAAGGAGTGCCCTGTATCTCCCACTAGACAGTGATGTGTTTGAAACGTTGACAGAACGTAGGAGTCTCAGTTTCAGCATATATTTAACACACATATCGTCCACAAGCACGGAGCCTTCAACAGATAATCTCTTCAGGAGAGGGCAATATTTGGACAATTCAATAATAATTTCTCTAGTACAGCCAATATGGAAGTGAAATTCCCGGAGATTGGTTAAAATCTGAATCCTTTCTAGAAACGGCTGCATATACTCAAGGCGTTGTTCTGGAGGAAGGATCAGACGTTGAATATTTGGGACAACATAAAGCAATTGAATTAAGATCCCTTGCACGAACTTGGACTCTGTAGTACCTATATTGTACCTAGACATGCAAGGCAAAAGTACAGCTTTCAACATGGAGGTGCAAATATAGCGATGACTTTGCGTGATCGGGGCACGACCAATATTGTTGTCGTAACAAGCGATGATCTTTGCGAAATCCTTGACGGCATAACGTACAATGTAGTCTGAAAACATCGGCACGTGTGGGGAACCGAGTGTGTGGTGCACATGGATGATCTCCTGCTCCACGCATCTGATCTCCTGAAGCCACCTATTCTCGCTTCTAACAGCAGCTGAGTGTAGTCTGCGGGTCCATTTGACCGCCATTTCTCGCACCATCTTGCGGACTTCCCGAAATACCAGACCCTGGAGACTTAAGGGGTCGTTTCGTCTGTTCATAACGCCTTCTGAAATAGACATATACTTAGCCACAGTACATCTCATTTTGGCGAAGCAGTTGCTCGAAAATTGATTAAAATGAGATCAAGGCTTCATTGAGATTCCTCCAGAATAAAGCCTTACATCCACGGACGCACACGGATGAAGGAACACCCATTACGAAATTGTCAGAATATTCAGCATCAATTTAGACAAGTTGCCACACAACACGCGGCACTGCCTGGGGNACGGTATATACTCTTCTGACTACAGGTTCGGTTGCAATGAAAAGGCATTTCATATGCGTTAAGGGCCATTTTCGTCTGAAGAGACTCGCTTTCCTTCAGATGCTGAGCCATCTGTAGAAACTTTCGGTGGCAAACATTTGCACGAACATTTTGGCTGTCACGAAAGAAGCCAGTACATATTTTTATTTTAATAAACGGGACAAATACGCAAAGACAATGAAAAGGATCTCCCAGAGAAAGGACATGGAACTGCGAACTGATTTATCGTTCCAGAAATTCCTTGGGGATACAGTAAATATACTCTATATTACTGCCTACTGAGACCTGATTCCGTGTAGTTTGGTAGATGGGTATCAATTTTTTTCGGTGCGACATGCTTCCAAATCTTCAAAGTTAAATAACTCCCCTATCTTGATGATGGAGTCAACCTGTTCCTTCGAAACATTACTACCCATTTACCAAACATCACAGCATCAAGATCCAGAACACTATGAAGCTGATACCAAAAGCAGTGACAACAGGATCATTAACTCAGTTTTTATCAAAGAGTGAGCCGCGATCCACTGGTGCAAATCGACATCAGGACTCGAAAATAATAATTAATTCAGTCATACACAACTTTGTTACCCAAAACTGTCATACGGCGGGCGCAAAGGCAGGACTATTATTGTATTGCTACTGACAGAACTGCATGTAGGACTGAAACATATATTCACGAAATTTTTATTCGTTCATATGAATTTCTATTTATCATTAATATTCCAATAATATGTATATAAAATATAAACAAATTTTTGAAAAAAAGATAAACTTTAGTTTTACTAAGAAAGGACTAAGTTATTTTGACGGCCGCGCCATAGCTCAAGCGGTTGGTCGCTGGCTTCCCACCGCGGCGGCACGGGTTCGATCCCGGGATTTGGTCAAGTGGGATTTGTGGTGGACGAAGTGGCGCTGGGACAGGTTTTCTCCGAGTACTTCGGTTTCCCCTGCCAATCTTCATTCCACCAATTGCTCCACAGTCACCCTCACCTATCATCTGGGGCTGGTACAATAGGCCAGAAGTGGCCGCAGTACAAGGGACTTAGTCCAACCCCACTAGCAATACAAAAAAGTTACTTTTGACTAAATGACCGCTCGGACGCAAGATTTAAAATTTTTGCGGTTGACAGTACCAATTCTTACAAACGCTGGAAGCTGTTGCTGTAAGACACGGAGCTGCAAGTTATTTTGAAACAACCAATGGTATCACGCGATTTTCCTTATGGTTCCCTGAAACTGGGGACCAGTGGCGCCAGTCAAATTACAGCGGTTCGCATGAACGCTAGCAATGTTCTGGAACCGAAACTGACCAGGTCTTTGTTACGTCCGTCAGTGTGGTCATATTGTGTAGCGATCTGAGCGGTTGCGTGTCAATTTACGTTAATTGCTTCCTCTGCTGTCTGTAAACACAACCGACTTGAATTATAATATTGCGTGTTTATTTTCTCACATTCTTCGCTATTGAAAATATTTTCTAAATAGAATTACTTTCACAAACCTTAACAAATATGCTACGAAGCTCCTACCTCCGGTCCCTCCAGAGCAATCCACAAGCGTCCCAACTCAGGGCTGACGGCCGACTGATTGATCTGCAATGCGGTATGATCACAGCATATGCACCATGTCGAAAGTAGAACAGAAATTTCCCTCTTTAGATAAATTTCAAATTGAAGGCGGGTGCGTTCAACAGTTGCACAAATAAGACAGCGCAGCAAAATTTTCGCTTCTATTGGCAACTCGTACTAAATCGGTGTGCTGACCTGAAAAATGACACACGTATCGTTGTGGAAAGCAATCACTATCCTCTTTCTGTGACATCTTTCTCGGAAGGAATAAGAATGCACACATCGCTTGTTATTCGCTTGTAAGTAATGACTTTATATGAACGGAAGACAAATTGCATTTACTTTCTCCTACAGTAGTTTACAAAACGTATACAGAACACAAAGCTAAGGCGCAGAATTCCCATATGCAAGAATTTCATGATGACTAATTCCTTATCTCAAGTTTATCTCCCTCCTGAAAATGGAGAATACCAAAGGGTGGTGGTGTTTGCTGGGTAAATACTGACGTAGCTGGATGTGAATTGCTGTTCCTAGACGCCAAGCTGTGGTAAGGAATGCAGTGCTGCCGAAAGAGGCTGGACTTCCGTAAATGTATCATATTCAAATTCTACACGTTCATCAAGATTTCTGTCGCCAGTTAAATGCAAAAGTGTGGTGTCAATTGGAAAGGACTACAGGAAAGCCATGGGACATGTTGTGAAGGACCGTTGTCCTCGTCCGTTGTCTAAAAACATATAAATTAGAATATAGAGAATTATAATTTTGCATTTGGTTCCACATGGGTGTAAAACTTGGTCTCTAACATTAAGGGAGGAACATAGACTGAGGGTGTTGAGGAGAACATTTGGACAGTAGAGGGATGAAGTGAGAGGAGGTTGGAGAAAACTGCATAATGAGGAGCTTCATAACTTGTACTCTTCTCCAAGCATAATTAGAATGAGCAAGTCAAGGAGGATGAGGTGGGCAGGACATGTAGCACGAATGGGGAGAAGGTAGGATATTGGTTGGAAAACCAGAAGGAAAAAAGCCAAGACAATGAACCTTCGGGTATCATAAAATGCTGTGAAGTTCTTGAATAGCTGCACAACAAGCAGCTTCTCAAGTCTCAGTGTCTCAGTGACTGAGGTTAGCTCCTTCTAAGGGTCCCAACAGAGTAAGAAAATAAACTCCAATTCGGCAATCACATTATTGTATTTGTTAAGAATCTATTTAGCTTACATTACTTGTATAAATATATTGTTCCTCTATGTGAACTCAATATTTTCAGGATTACGTTAGTAAAATCTGTAACATTCTTCCTGATCTGATAATATTTCACTTTAGAATAGATGCACCTGTCTAATATATGCAGCTCAGTTTTGAAAGCAGGACCAGAAATGGATTGCGCCATTCTAAAATTTCTTAAATATTAAAAACATTTTACTCTCAGCGAAGTACATCGAGTGAAAAATTAAAATTCATCACAGAATTTAAAAACGTCACAACTTGATCTTCGTAGACACGAGACCAAGTACCAATGCTCCCAATCTTAGTCAAATTGGGACAGTTCTGCAAAAGTAACCATGCCGTATCCATGCTCATGTCTCCGCAAAATTCTATGAAACATTCACTCAGATTTCTGAATCCGCCAGCCGTCACAGTTTGCCTCATGAAGGTATCAGTTATCTCTCCCATGAACATAAGACGTAATGCATTCAGATTGATGTACAGGGGCAAGATAGAGCTGAAATCAAATGGGCCCCTGTTATTTCCTAATGCTAATTTTCTAAGGTTTCGGAAATGCGGTAATGCAGGATCGAGAAATCCTGTGTGATCTATGTTACAGTAACTCATGGTGAGCGAATTAAGAACAGTGCAAGAATTAATCAAATCGTTGATTGTTATTTCCCCAACATGGCCCAATTTTAAGACTGTAAGATTTGGACCCAAATGTATAATGACATTACTAAACCTGATAGCGGTAGAGGTGCACCAATAAATACAGAGAGTAGCCACACTTCTCAGCGCGCCCAAGTCTGAAGTTTCCTCGGGTATGGTTATGAGTGTTAATTCAGTTAAATTTGGGCATTTCTGAACAAGTAGTTGCGCATCTGAAGTGTTTCCAGTGAATGTTTTCACGGAATGTAGAGGTGCCTCGAGACTGCGTAATATAGGGTCAATTGGAGGGTACCAAAGGACATTCTGAATTTCTGGCAAACCCGAAAGGATTCCTTCGTAGCCGTTACTGGAAACCGACGTGCCTGTAATCTCGAGGATAAGTAGGCCTCTGAGTTTCAGCAGGTGTCTCACGCACTTGTCGTTCACCCTTTTGGAATCTTTGACAGAAAGATTGTTCAGCCGTGGGCAATGTTCTGACAACTGGATAATGATTTCTCTAGTACAACCAAGATGGAAGTGGAATTCTCGGAGACGGCTCAAAAGCATGATTCTGCGCAGAAGGAGCTGCGTGTAGTTAAGGTGTCTTGCTCTGGGCAGAATCAGAACCTCAACGTTCGGGATGACATACAGAAGGTTAATGAAGAGCTTTTGCACGAATTTTGAGTCCATTTTACTTACGTCGCATGTAGTAATGCAAGGAAACATCACAGTTTTCAGAATGTTTAAGCATGTGTCCTGATGAACACGTCTTTCGAAAATTCTGGCGATTCGGGGGCGACCATTGTCGCAGTCGTAAGAAGCGATTATTTTTGTGAACTCTCCGATACCGTAGCCGTTAATGTACTCTGTAACGAGTATCAGTGGGAGGGAGGCGAGTTGTGCGCGCACCAGGATGCACTCTTCCACCACAGACTCGATTTCTTGGAGCCAGATTCTCCGGCTCGTAACAGCAGCTGAGCGTAGTCTGCGGGTCCACTTGACCCCCGCCTCTCGAACCATCTCGTTGATCCTCGAATACGCCACGTCACGTAGACCTGTGGGGGCCTTTCTTCTGTTCATGACGCCTTCTGAAACATTAATGTACATAGTTACCTTGCGTTCGCCAATTAAGGCGAAGTTAATTGCTCGAATAGGGGCCTCTTTCTGTGGGCAAACTCTAGATATGTAGAGTGAAGGAGCAGACATTACCAAAGTAGCCGAATGTTATCGGTTTAGACATGACGGCATTCGTCAGGGACATTTTCGGGGCAAAGGGCTCTACTGTTCTTCCTCTGTCTTCAGGCAGAAGGAAGGGGCAACTTTCTGTGGTAGTTTCTTTTTAGTTTCCTGGGGTGGGGTGAGACTGAGTCCACTTGTTACTTCCGTCACTGTAGGACCTATTGTAATAGCCCCGGGTGATAGATGTTGAGTGCGAAGCAGTCGATGGAATGAGAATTGGCAGGGGAAACCGAAGTACTCGGAGAAAACCTGCACCAGAGCCACTTTTCACACCACAAATTCCATAAGACGTGACTTGGGATCGAACCCCGGCAACCGCGGGGGCAACCCAGCCACTAACCGCAAGAGCTGTGGCATGGCCTCCGCTTTCTGTGACAAGTTTCATCTTTGAATGGCTGAGCGAGTGGATCCCATTTCTTCAGCCTGAAGCACGATACTGAGCCATCTTCAGTTACTTCCGTGCCGCTTCATTTCAGAGAACGTACAGAAGGATCAGTCGCGGAGCTGGCAACATTGCCAGGAACATTTTTAGTGCCGCACGCACTGGAAGGGACCATGCATTTATTTCTTCAAAAACGGGACAAATGTGGGCAAAACAATTATATAAACATATGTATCGCCGAGAGGGAGGGCGTGGATATGCGAACTCTATTCAACTGATATCCAGTTGCCAGCTCTTATGAAAACTATAAAATGCTTTCAAGTATTTCATAGCGTATTTGTTGAGGAGCTGTTTACCAAGTCCTGAAACAAGACAAGCATAAGGCACCTTAACGTAATAAATGAACAGCATGATTCTTCGGTCGCCACGGTACTTATAACTCGCAAATTTAGAAAATGTTTCCGTTATTTCCTCCTCCCCCGTCACGACGTGGGGATTTCATTTAGGAGCACGTGTGGCCAGGCCCAGGTGAACAACGCATTAGTTTGTGCGGTGAAAATTCCTGCAAGGAACACGACTGTGGTGTGTTGAAATCTGTAGAAATATCTGAGTGTCATTAAGTGCGAATGGGCCTCAAGTTCTGGTAGCAGCACATAAATTTGAAGTTCCAAGTTTATAACTCTCCAAAATTCGGAGGAACTCAGATACTGCAATTGCGAGAGTCTCATTGGGAGGAAAAGAATATTTCTCTCGGTGTCTCCGTAACTCCATCTGCTGCCCCAAACGTAAGGAAACTGCTCGTGTCCCTTCTTGGCGCGCCGACTGTCAGGCTGACTGAAGCACAGGGTGTTTCTAAATTACTGTCGGGGTTTCCATGGCCGATAATTTTCAAACCGGCAATAAAAAAAAAAGCAAAAAAGGCGTGCACGTTGAAGTTATTTCAACATTTTGCAGCATCATTTCAATAATAAAACATTATGAGTTATAAAGAAAGCAGTCTTCTGGGATTTGGCACCGTGTATATGTCGTGTTAACCGACTGCTTTTACCGGTTCTCACGGTCTCTTCGCTTGCGGGTTTCTTATATTTTTCCTTCTACCCTGAAGATGGAGGCGATACGTTCCTCCGAAACGTCGGTTAACACCACATATGCACGGTGCCAAATCCCAGAAGACTGCTTTCTTCATAGTCACCGCCGTGAAAGCCTCAAATCTTACATTATGAGTTATACTTCCATACTCAGTAAGCAATTTTATTTTTCCTCTTTCGGTTTGAAAATTACAGATCACGGAAACCCCGACAATAATTCAGAATCATACTCTATTTCTGGTTATTTCTATGGGTGTTTCCTCCTTATTTCTATAGCTTTCCCCGCGGTCAACTTCAAGGTCATATAATGTAGACCCATCATCTGTTGCTTCTATACCCTCACACACTAAGATCTTCGTTACATTATGAAATAAATGAAATTAGAACAAAACGACACCAATAAGTTTTCTGTAAGAATGTATTTCACGACGATTTGGAGACACCGAAACGCTGGAGTGGACATTTCGATCTGCGTATAGCTCAATAAGTACGGTGACTGCGAACATATTCGAGATGTATTACGTGACAATCAATAAAACATTTATGTAATATTTCGCACAGAAAGAGATCTTCAAGCAGTCACAATAGCCCAACAGCGCTATGAACCCTCTTTGTACTGGAAGTAAAGTGGTGCTGCCCGTAAAACCAGTCGGTCATAGAACTGTTTGAAATGGGACTATTATCTTAGATCAAACCTGGTTATAATACGAAATTAAGTTCGTAAATGCCACCCTAACAGTGGAAAACTCAATTCAGTCAGTCATTTTGTCGTCCCAGACAATCTTTGGGTGAAGAGAGACCGCAGGCACGGTTTACGTTACGCTATTCTGAGACTTGACGCCATGTAGTTTGGTTGATGTATACTAACTTTTCAGAGCAATACACTTCCTCTTTCTCAAATTAGAAACATTTCGTCTACCCTCGAGGCGTATTCTTGCGACGTCATTTTATTACTCAACGTAACTATAACACAAAGTGTTGAGCAAGTCTTTTCACAGTCGGCCCTTTAATGTTAACAACTCTCACTAAACTGTGGAACTGTCAAACTCCTACTCAATGTACCTACTTACATTACCTAGAGTCGGACCTATAGAAAACTTATCACTGTCCGTATTGTTGCAAGCTTTGCCTAGCACCGGTTATTTACTCAGCTGTTGGTAGGCAGTGAATGGTTTCTAGCTTGCGATTGGCTAGCACACGATCCTATATGGGTGCTTCCCATAGTCATATATTGTTGTAGGCCTTACATAGCAACGACTGTTTACTCGTCCCAACATGTGTAGGGTAATTATCAAACTGTGAGTCAAGGCCCAACTTTGTGAATTGACGTTGGGTTGGATAGGAAGTTAACTCTGGAAATTAGAATGATTTCAGAAACCAAAATTCGATTACACAGAAATCGAAGTGCAGTGTAAACCCAAGCTTGTAATTAGTAATAAAATAAATAATGTTCTTTAAACTTGTTACGTTTGTTATTATATACTTCAACTGATGATTAATGTACATAAACAGAACAGATCTTTTTCTTATTATGATGGGACTGTTTTCCTTTCACAAGGTGAAACGCAGGACGCGACTTTTGGTTTCACTTGCTTCACACTTATTTTGTTACACTTTCTGAAAGCCCACATCTGAGATACCAGTTATCACGTGTCTCCTAGGTAACGCGACGGATAACTTCACGTAGGTCTCGGATTCAGGACACAATCCTTTACACACTGAAGTAAAATTATTATTATTTTTACTGCTTCTGCGACTCCCTTCACCCGATCCAACTAACTCGGCGAATGCTAGACTTCATCTGACTCCTTCCTGGTATATTCAACCAGTGTCGATCGTCAACTAACTCGCTGAGTCAGAGTCAGAGTCTCCGCCAATCAGTTCGTCTTGGCGCCAAGCCCCTTGAGGATCAAAACCACAGTTATTTTCAACTGAACCGTTGAGGTCATAGTCCTTATGTAACATCCTCTCTGACGAGAAGATGGGTATGTCTCTTATGAATACACACGACCTTTCGTCTAGTGTATATTTCGCACATATAATGTTATCGAAAACTCTTCCCTTTGCTTTACACACAAGTCCTCTGTCAGTACAGGCTTTGCAGAGCAGATCGTGTCTATCTTACGTATCTTATGCTACAACAGCAGCTTGGTCATTTGAACGGTCATAAGCTTGGCCACCGCCAAGCTTGAGCCTCTTATATTTTGAACTCGCTGACTCTTCGGAGCTGGACTGTTATAGCCTGGTTTCGGACGGGGTAGAACGCACTACCGCCCACGGTTCGATTTCACGTTATCTATCCCCGTTACCGTGGAATGCTATTTCAATAACTCGTTGCCACGGTTCTTACTAGGCAACGGTCATTTGGTATTGGATTTGTCTCTGTTGCTCAGAGATGGACGTTGCAATAGGACGACAAGCTGCACTAATGATCGGGGTATTGTGAAACCGAAACTGAGGGACAGGTTAGGGAAACTGGGAAACTGGACTGCTTTAGGTCTGTCTGCATTAAGTAGTCCTCACATGCGGCCATGTTGTATAGAATTGTTTTCTTGTATATAAGCAAGATGACACTTCAGACGAGAGACGCTGTGCAGCTGCAAGCGCCTTTCATTAAGTTACACCAGCATAATACAATAATATTTTCGGCGTGTTTAAATTCTCCCTATGTTCTGTATTCACAATATTTACTTAACAGTTCTTACCTCTAGTCCCTCCAGAGCAATCCATAAGCGTCCCAACTCAGAGCTGACGGCCGACTGATTGATCTGCAATGCGGTATGATCACAGCATATGCACCATGTCCAAAGTAGAACAGAAATTTCCTTCTTTAGATAAATTTCAAATTGAAGGCGGGTGTGTTCAACGGTTGCACAAATATGGCAGGGTAGCAAATATTATTTCGATAAGCCGTAATGTATAAGTTGTGTTTCATAACAAAATTGTTTCCCTGATCATAAAAATTCAGACAAAATTAATATAAAACAGCCAGAGAGTCCCTTCATCTTCTTGCTTGCGAGGTATGTGAATGACTTCTTAATACGCGGTGTGAAGCTGTCGTTATTTAACCGAAATTAAAATTTCATCTAAGATGTAAATGGAACATAACGTTTTGTGATAAAATGCAGTACACAGAAGTGACGTCATGAAAAGTTTGTGTCATGATGTGGAACATGTGTGTGAAAACTAATTTCAGAACTCAGTTTTCATGTGGCCGCGCCATAGCTCAAGCGGTTAGTCGCTGGTTTCTCACCGCGGCGGCCCGGGTTCCATCCCGGTCTGGTCAAGTGGGATTTGTGGTGGACAAAGTGGCGCTGGGGCAGGTTTTCTCAGAGTACTTCGGTTTCCTCTGCCAATCTTCATTCCACCAATTGCTCCACAATCACCCTCACCTGTCATCTGGGGCTGGTACAACAGGCCAGAAGTGGCCGCAGTAGAAGGGACTTAGTCCCACCCCACCAAGTAAAATAGTTTTCATGTTCACTGACTTCGTTTGTATGCACGTGACTCTGTTTTCCGAGCACACACAGGTGAACGTTTTTACGCTGTGCATCACATTGTGTTAGTGAATGCTGATATATAAAAAAAATTGTATCAATCAGCAGTTGTTACCTGACGGAATTCTCCTGGAGAGACTGAGGGCAAACTGCAGTAATATCACGTTGAAAGAAAGTTTATGAAGAATAAATACTCCAGTTATATTAACCTCAAAGCAGTTCCGTTCGTTTTAAAATGACCTACCACATTACGAGAGAAACTGCTAAGCCCTCTAAACCATGCTGAGAACTGGAATAACAGGTGAAAACACTTTCTGTACCTATTGACGGAAGGTAACCACTAGGAAGACCAAGATGTAGGTGGATGTATAATTGCAAATTGGATCTTAGAGAAATAGGATGGGGTCGTATGGACTGGATTAATGTGGCTCAGGATAAGGGCAAGCGAAGGGCTCTTACTGTTCGTTTGGTTACACAGTGTTTATAACTTGGAATACAATTTTCTTTGACAATCTGATATTCACTTCCTTGATCCAGAAATTCAATGGCGCCTATGAAAACTGTTAACTTAGGTAATTCAGATCTATGCTTTCCAAGTAAATCCTATTTGATTTTGAACTAAAATTTTATGTTGCAGCATGTATAACCGTTGCCATTTAACAGCTGCGTCATAAGCAAATATATCAGAGCCGTTTCCAGGCAACGGCTCGGTAAACAAGTTACCGTTGGAACGAATACGCATGCAACAATAGAAGTATTGTTGGAAGTGGAGTGTTTCTGAGTGGTCCGCGCTGAGATGCTATAAGCAAGGAACAAAATCCAGGAAGTCAGTTAAGTCGTGGTGTAACCAATCATTACAGTAGTTACCGGCCTGCTTCTTAACTATTCATACTTGTTTCTTATTACGAATCTTATAGTAAATGAAACTTATGCCCAGTTTTGCATTAGCTGTTCTAAGAATTTGCGGTGAGCAATAATAAGCCCGTGCGGTACGTAAATGACTACCCATCCCACTGCCGGTCTGATAAAAGGAACTTCCAGAATGTTCTCGAACTATGAAACAGTAGAAGAAACTTCGAGAAGTTTTGAGAAAGCTCTTGTTACGTCATCTCACAGTATTTAGAAGGACCATTCCCAGATGTCGGACAGTGACCGATCAGTTGGGCACTCAGTGAGAGGCAGAGAATCTGGCTCCCTCTCCACCGTACAATCGCGCTGCGAATGTGTAAGTTGTACGCAATGTACGCAACTGCATTAGTAAGTTGTGTAGTGCTGTGCAGTAACCCAAGTAAGTACAACATTTCATCGGTACTTTGTGATCCAAAGACTTCTTCATTGGGTATAATCTCTCTCGTCGGGGCAAGGCCCGTTAAGCCCTGAAGAAGGAACCTCATCGCTCACGAACCCTGAATATTGTTCCCATTCCTGCTCTCTCGACATTCTCACTCACAAACCGAGGTTTCAACGAGGAGCAGCGTAAGGGGAACAGCCAAAGCGACAAACCCTCAACGCGAGGGCTTCGTCAAAAGAACACTCACAAATGGCTTATCTCAACGTGGGGCTACTGCACAGCGCAGAAGAACTCTCACAGTGGGATATTCGCTGGACAGTAACGAGATGACCGCGTGGAGCTGAAGAATCTCCACATTTAGAAGCCGTTTCTAGGGAACGGCCCGTGACGACACAGCAAGTTGGAAAAACTTGGTGAGTCCTGTGGTGATTTGTGAATTATGGAGATTAGTGGGGGGGCGCTGTAATTGCTTGTTCTTACGAGTCGCATGCCTAAGTGGTCAATAAATGCATTCATCGATTCAAACCCAGTCTGTGGTCACACACACTCTAAATCATGACAATAATGTCGCGTGCCGGAAATCCGGAAGTGATACTTCCGTGTGAACGCAACAACAGTGGGCCGTTGCCTGGGAATGCCTTGCGTAGCAATTGCGTTTCCCCGGAGATGAAAGGACAACAGAGGCTTCGTTGCATTGCACTGACTGACTGACTGACCATCAGTCGCAATGTGACTTGGACTTGGACTTGGATCAGTTCCCTCCCTGTGTGGAGGCGGGTTCGAATACCTCCACCGTGACCCTGCGAGTCGTAGGAGGCGACGAAAAGGGAAGTCTCACATGTGAGACAGTAAAATATGGTCTCGAGTTCCAAGGGACTCAGACCTGAGAAAGACTGCACTGGCGAGGGCCAGCAGCATACACAAAAGGCAGACCCGTCCTCTCGTCAGAGAGGGCGCCCCAATAAAACAAGACCGTAAATGCCAAACGGTAATATCTGGGGCTCGAAACCATGACTTACTGACTGACTGACTGACTGACTGACTGACTGACTGACCGTCAGTCGCAATGTGACTTGGATTTGGATCAGTTCAGTTTGCCTTTGACAATAACAGTGCAGTAAAAGTGACAACAGTTGTACTGGTGACTGCAACGGGTATGTCCGTTCCGAAGGAGCACGCCGCGTCACAATACACGTATGTTTCACATGCGTACACATCCCGTGGCCCTCCGTAGTGCTCGAGTCTTTCTTTCTAATGAAAGTACGCGACGGTCAGCAGTGACAGAGCTCTCAGTACGAAATGATCTTCATTGGCTTGTAACTTCCTCTATGATATTTCCCAATATTCTTCTAAAGGCTCGTCCACATTTCTCGTGGTCGTGCTCGCCAGGCTTGTGCTCGTCGGGACACTCGTCTGGCTTTTACTTGTGCTCGTAAATCTTCGTCCACACTACTTCAGTTGCTCACCAGGCTTCGGCGCGTGAGGATCCGTATATTTACCCGTAGTGTGTATAGGCTGTAGTCGTATTTTAATTTATTGGCTATAGTTTTTAAATTAAACATTTGAAATTTGCTTGTCTCGTGACTTGTCATATCGTCAACATTACTCGCGAGCATAGCGAGTCACACGAGCACGAGCACGAGTAATGTGGACGCGCCTTAAGAACTTCCGTTTTCAAAATTCCTTACCGTGTTTGTTCAAAAAGTGAAACGCCAGTTTCCTCTTTGTATAATTTTTCGAAGCACAAGCAATAATAACTGTCATCACATGTCATCTGCAGTATAGAGATATCAGCACAGAACCTACTGTCAATTATGTCTCATAAATTTCTCTTTGTAATTTCCCTCTATCATTACGCCGTGCGTTACAGCAGTTGTGTTATTTTGTTTAGCCTATGTGTCTGTATCGTCGAATTGTAAGATGATAAACTAGAAAGGATTAGGAAGCAAGTCTAAGTTGCATAATCGAGGTGCTGTACCTGTATTCTCATAGGGAGATTGAGGAAAACCACGTAATACTTCAGTCAGTATAGTCAGTGTCCTGACTGAGATTCGAAAGGACAGCTTCCTGGATTGCACCGCTAGATCAGCTTGTTCTGTCGCGGCAGATGAAGTCACTTAGAACATATGGAAACGTGTAAGATACAATTTATTACAATTTCGTTATTTATATAGGCATGTAGACAAAAAGAATTTGTATCATGTTGCAAAACATACGCTTTTATTGATCATAACAATTTATTAGTAAAACATTTTCTTTTAGATACCTTTAGTCCGTAATGTCTTGTCTTATTCCCATCATGAAACACATGACACCGTATTCTAAAAAGAAAATGAAGTAAACAATTATATTTGCATGTATTATGACATATAACTTCATAACACTACATTATTTAAAACACAACACACTTGCATCGTACACTCAGAATTCTGATTAACATAAATTTTAACTGCTCACGTATTAGTTCGGCAACTACTTATAGCTGTCGAAACTCATCTGCTACTACTTTAATATTATCACACACTTCTTGTCCATCAGTACGCATTGTTTGATATAAAATCGTAAGGTAAGATTATCTTAAGGGTAAACACATTTGGACTAGCACAGTGCATAACGAACGAATTAGTTGTAACGAGAGGTAGCGGATATGAAGCAGGAATTATTTCCAACATGAAGACACGTGTCAGTAGCACACTCACAGCACGGATTTTCTTATAAAATTAATTTAATTTATGTTATCTTCATTGATATTGTATACATATATTTAAAATTATCAAGGGTCTGCTAATAAAATAAAATCAGTTAGTTTTATTAAGATGTTATAATATTGTGACATGTCAAGACCGTTGTTGGGCAACGGGATATGGAACGAGTTGCCACAAGGACAGACTCTTTGATAAACGGTCGGTTGCCAAGTTAGGCAACAGCAAGGAAAGCGATGTTTCTCCGTCCCGTGCCGAGCGGAGCCACCACACTGGTTGCTACGCAGTAATAAACAGTTCTCGGCAACGTTGCCAAGCAATGCCTCTGTAAACACGGCGTCAAGCAACAGTGAAGGAAGCTGTGTTTTCCGCCTGTCCGATAGAGGTTTTATAAGAGAAACTGGAATAAGTGATAGTGGTGATAACTGAGAAGGCATTGGGTATTGGGAGTGTGTAATTCAGCGACACTTGTATGGCTCCCGTGTTATACTGTAGAAAGTGAAGAAATTAGGGTGTAGGGTTTGTGAATTGTGTAAACCCGCAACAGTGTTACAATTAATTGTAGTTACGACTTGCAGGTTGTTAGTAAAACCAGTCAACAATCCGAACGGCGTCCACAGTAGACCAAATACGTTACAATACAGTTGCATGTTAATAAACTGATTTTATCGACAAATTGAGTATCAGTTCTTTATTAAAAGTATAAAATTTCTGTGATGGACGGACATATTTATATAGCAAAATTAGTAATGTTCTTCCAGGCGTCACAAACTTGCATGTTAAAATGTAGGTACGTGTCTGAACTTTAGAAGGCATCAGGAAATAGTGTTCAGGAAGCATATTTTTCAATATTTGTAAAACAATTCAGTCAACAGTATCTTTTTTAATTCTCATGCAGACTCCTGATTCGCTGAAAGAGACTTGAACTCAGCGACATACTTCGAGTGAGAGATTGTTATTCCTCAAAAAAGTTAAAAGTGCCGCTACTTCACGTTCGTCGACACGAGACCAACTGTCAATGTTCCCAATCGTAGTCAAATTGGGACAGTTCTGCAAAAGTAACCACGCCGTATCCATGCTCATGTCTCCGCAAAATTCTATGAAACATTCAGTCAGATTTCTGAATCCGCCAGCCGTCACAGTTTGCTTCATGAACGTATCAGTTATCTCCACCATGCCTACAAGATGTAATACATTCAGATTGATGTATAGGTGCAGGATGGAGCTGAAATCAAACGGGCCCCAGTCGTACCTTAATCTTATTACTTTAAGATTTCGGAAATGTGGCGATATAAGCTCGAACGTTCTTCTAATTATCATGTGACTGTAAAGAATACTGAGTTCTTTAAGAACAGTGCAATAATTAATCAAGTCATTGATGTTTATATCCAAAATTTCGTTCATTTTTAGATTTGTAAGATTTTGACCCAGACACCTGATGACAACGCCAAGTGCAATACCCGTGTAGGAACAGCGGAAAAGGGAAAAAGAAGAGACATTTCTGAGCCCGGCCAGGTCTGAAATGGCCTGGGCAGGGGAAAGCAGCTCTAACTCCTTTATATTTGGGCACTTCCAAAATATTATGCTTGCATGTGATACTGTACCGACAAATTTCATCACTGAAGGAAAATATACTCTCAGGTTTCCTAGGACAGTGTCTATTGGACTAAACCAAGTAATGTTTTCGATTTCAGGCAAACACAAGAGAAGTTTTCTATATCCGATATTAGAAATTGATGTGGCAGCGACATTCAGACCACACAGTTGTGTGAGTTTCAGCAAGTGTTCTACGCAGTAATCATCCACAAGTCTGGATTCTTGGACAGATAAGTGCTTCATGTGACGGCAAAATCTTGATAATTCGATAAGAATTTCTGTAGTACAGCCAATATGGAAGCGAAATTCCTGCAGATGGGTCAGTATCTGAATTCTTTCCACGAGGAGCTGCAGGTAGCTGGGGTGTGCTGAGGGCAAGATCAAAGCTTTGATGTTCGGAATAACATAGAGCAATTTGATTACGAGAGTTTGTATGAAATTAGACTGCATGTTACTTATACTGCACTTAGACACGCAAGGTAGAAGTACAGACTTCAACATGTTTGAGCAGACATCCTCATTAATTTCTCTAGCTAAAAACCTGACCCTCAGAGCGCCAGAGATGTGGTCGTTGTAAGATGCGATGATTTTCGTGAATTCCCGGAGAGCATAAACAATAATGACCTCTGATACTAAGGACACGGTTAGGGAGGCGAGGTGTGCGCGCACCAGGACACACTCTTCCTCCACAGACTCGATCTCTTGGAGCCAGCTACTCCGGCCCGTAACAGCAGCTGAGCGTAGTCTGCGGGTCCAGTTGACCCCTGCTCGTCTCACCATCTGGCAGGCTCTCGCAAGCGCCGTGTCCACCAGGCTTTCCGGATTATTTCTCTTGTTCATGGCGCCTTCTGAAATATACACATTTGTTTAGTGACCACCTACTCCTAAAGTTACTGCTCGCACTGCGACTGGAATAAAATAATTGTTTCTTTGTCGCAAGAATTCTCCGAAATTAGGGCCTACTTCCACAGGCATACACAGGAGATATCATGCAGGACAGCTTATTAGGAAGGTTCCTGAAGGTTATGCAACCTGTTAGTGCACTTGTCATGTTGCAGCGGAACGTGAGTTTAAGTCCTATGATAATGAGCCCTCCATAGATTGTGTACAAACATTATCCTGTGGTGAAACTGGCAACATGGCCATGAACAATTTGTCTGTCACAAAAGAAAGCGTACACATTTGCTTCTTTAGCAAACGGGACAGAGTTGAGCATAGAAAACTGAACGGATCTCCAAGAGACAGAGAAGGGATATACACTTGGTCGTCGACTTACGACCGACTTCCGTTCTGACTGACTGGGCGTATGTTGGCCATATATTTATTGACAGTATTTTTTAACATTTCCAATCCTTTTATCCTCTTTATAATTTATTTTTAAAAACTTTTACACTTTAATCATCTTTTTTTTTTTCATTTTTTTTTTGTGGTCGTAAGCCGCATAGATCGTAAGTCGACGACCGAGTGTATATAGATATATGTGAAACTGGGTTGAACTGGCTCAGAATATTCTAAAATGGCAAGCATCTATGAGAAACGGTTTCTGACACACAGACCATTACGCGACAAGCTAATGCCAACTCAGAAAGAAGGAAATACACTACAAAGCAGCTTAGGGCAATGAACTAACACCAACGGGCAGCAAATCGCATAGTCACAATGATTCCTAGTACATCTCGCCATTAAAAAGAAATTGCTATGCATAAGCGAGTCGTAGGAGGCGACGCAAAGGGAACCCCGTGCCTGGGAATATGGCCGGGCCACCCTCTTCATGGGGGCTATAAATACGGGGACCTGGCAGGTTGGGGTATTCTCAAGTCTGAGAGTAAAATGTGGGCATAGGTCCCGTGGGACTCGGACCTGAGAATGACTGCACTGACGAGAGCTAGCAGCAATTGTAAATGACAGACCCATCCTCTCGTCAGAGAGGGTGTTACATAAGGACTACGAAAGCAAATGTTCAGTCAAAAAATGCCGGTCGTGGGTTTCAAGGGGCTTGTCGCCAGTCGTAAAGTAACTGTACTTCGTACACAAGCTGCACCGGCATCTCATGTAACGTTTCTTTATTACTAGTGGGGTGGGACTAAGTCCCTTGCACTGCGGCCACGTCTGGCCTATTGTACCAGCTCCATATGATAGGTGAGGGTGATTGTGGAGCAATTGGTGGAATGAAGATTGGCAGGGGAAACCGAAATACTCGGAGAAAACCTGCCCCAGCGCCAATTTCTCCGCCACAAATTCCACTTGACAAGACCCCGGGATCGAACCCGGGCCGCCGCGGTGGGAAGCCAGCGACTAACCGCTGGCGCGGCTCTGGGATTACCGTTACTGGCAACTGTTTGCCAGAGTCACATGGATAATATCCTAGCGTGTAGAGCCGTTGTTATGCAACGCATTTCTTGGCAACGGATCAGTAAACACGTTCCCGGGGAAACGGATAAGCCAACAGTTGAGTTGTTGCTGGAAACGGCGTTTATACTCGGTACGTGCAAAGTGGTTATAAGGAAGGCAATTGGGACTACCCAGTTATTTGTCAGTTGAGTCTGCACGGGATCCTAAGAGAATGAAGCTGAAGAATCACAACTGCTAGAAATCGTTGCCAGGGAACGGCTGCTCAAGATACGGCAGGTTGGAAAAAGCTTACCGGGTGCTTTGGTGATTGTGGAGACTGTGGAGCCTAGCTGTGGAGCTGTATTTGCTTGTAGTTCCGAGTCTTGCATATAAGTAATCAGTAAATCCAATATCCAATCAAACTCCGTCGAGAACCACTCTATCACATGATAATATTTGGTCTTGGGCACGGGAAAATTGTGCGAGGGAATTACTGAGAGGTGTCAGAAATATATAAAGACATTTCGCTCATCTTTCAACAATAGCCTACTGTGACTCTCTGTGAGGGCCAAGAGACCTAACGAACCGGAACCAGGCCACATGAGAGGGGAATTCCCGCTGTTAATACCTCCAAGCTCAGGAAAGTAACGAACTAGCCCGTACAACAGTAAGAGAATAAGTTCGGTCGGTTCTTCATTATATCGACTCTCGCCTCAAACGCAGTGTTGATGTTCCTTCTTTGGGAGTTCAGACAGAGAAGCCACGTGTTTTTGCCTCTGCATCCATAAAATGAATCCGTCTATTAGTACAGAGCATTGAAGCTTCTTTCCGTGCGCTTGGCAGTTCATCAGTTAAGCTTATTCTCGCGTTTAAACGCTGTCTGTCCCATGTAGATGGGACAGAATGGATGAATGCACTAAAATCCAAAGGACACAACACGTAGGAAAGGAAAAATTGACTGACAGCGCAGTGTGACTGTGTACTGTAAGTAGCTGGTGCTTATTTTAACATTTATTGTGTGCATTTGGACCTAGTAACTGCCATAATTTATTTACCAAAACGTAGAGATCATGTTCAGTGTGTGATTCGATGGTGGAGAGTTTCCGGTTTCCAGTTTCGTCACTTCCCAGAAATGTGGGCTGCTGGCCTGACTGACGTCGCTCACAGAAGCACCCACAATTTTTCCGAATCAAAGTAAACGCAAGGCAGCTGTCAAGGGTCTCCCGCAACAAGATCGGAGGCCATGCGGACTGACTTCTCTACGCGACGTCAGAGTTCTGATTGGACTTTATTAGCTCATGCCTCTCGTCGTCTGTGAATTTTGCACCGGAAACTTCAAGGACAATTCCTCATATTACGCCACGGCCACATCCTTGCAGACTGTTCCCAAATTGAAATGACAGTTTCATGGAGCTTAGCCCTCATTGAGAAGCCATCAGTTGCACAGCTACTCAAGAACTTCCCAAAATTTGATGGAACCCGAAGGTACATTGAACTGTTCAAAATAGCCCACCACTGGTCTCTATCCTGAGCCAGATCAATCCAGTCCTTACCATCTCATCGTAACTAAGATCTATTTTAATATTATCCACCCACCTACGTCTTTGTTTCCGGAGTAATATTTTCTATCTTAGTGTCCCATCAATATCCTATATTCATTCCTCTTCTTTCCACTCGTGCTACATACCCTGCCCATCTCACCCTTCCTGACTTGCTCATGCTAACTATATTTAGCTCCTCACTATGCAGTTTCCTCCAACCTCCCGTCACTCCATCGCTTTTCGGTCCAAGCATTCTCCTCAGCTCCCTGATCTCAGACACCCTCAGTCCAATTCATCAAGCATTAAGTAATGCAATTGTTGGCAGCTGCAACAGCCGGACACACTGAGAGCGTCATTACATAAGCAAATGAACAAAAGTAATAGAAACAAATGAAGGATGTCCCTGCATCTCTGTCGCGGTCCGTATGGAAATCTGTACTGATCTCGACACACGCGAGAGGAACCGAGCTGTCCCTGCAACGGGCCGTGGAGGTCCACTGGGTTGTGAGTCGTCGAGGCTCCAACAGTTTCTGGAAAATCGGCTCACAGATGGCGGTGAGGTTGTTAGCCTTACCCTGCGGCCGCCCTTTACCCCAAGGAAGATTCCTGGTACTCATTTCTGTTGGAGGCTTAGTCGACCCAAGGGCCATAGTGCGGCTGGAAGGATTACGTCAATTGAAATATACATTTCCCTCATCGAGAATCGAAGTCGCGACCGTCCGTCTCGTAGCATAGTGCCTCGAAACGAATCGGTACACACATTAAGATACGAAAGCAACAAGATTTTCGGAGCAACGCTGTCATGCGTGCGTACGTTGCCGGTTCCAGGGAACTTCTACAGGGTGACGAGGTGTACTTAGCTGTACTGTGAATGCTAACATACTGACGATGCAGTAAGAATCAACGGGGATTTATTTGGGGTGGGGGGATGTTTGCCACAAGAAGGGAACTCGAAGCAGGCATATGAGCCCAACACAGCGCCATCGAACTCGCTTCTTGTCGCAAGCAAAGTGCAGCCGTAGAAATATCTGAAGCAGAATTCTTGTATTAGCCTACTCATGAGTCCGGAGTTTAGCGTTCCAAATTCAGTTCGCAGGAACAACAATACCGTTGATAATGTATAAGTAAATATTGGGTAAATCACTGTTTCACAGTCGCAAAAAATTATATTTGAAATTAAATAAACAGGGCCTACATTACGGTATATAGTCATGACGCCATTTCACTTGCTGTGAAGAACTGAGACATCTTTCACCTTTAGTTCCTTGACTTATGATACATGCATCGAGTTTTCTCTACTAGTCGTTGCGTGTTACTTGCCGGGCAGTAGCGACGTTACCCCGGAAACTGGGTAACTTTCATTGAAGGTTCCTTGTCTAGGAACGTCTTGTTTGAAGGTTCGTTGCTTGGGAACGTATTGTTGAATGAAAGTTCGTTGCCTCGGAACTTCTTGTTGTATGAAGGTTCCATCCTGGAAACGTATTGTTGAATGAAAGTTCGTTGCCTGTGAACGTCTTGTATGAAGGTTCGTTGCCTGGGAACGTATTGTTGAATGAAAGTTCGTTGCCTCGGAACGTCTTGTTGTATGAAGGTTCCTTGTGGAAACTTATTGTTGAATGAAGGTTCGTTGCCTGGGAACGTATTGTTGAATGAAAGTTCGTTGCCTGTGAACGTCTTGTATGAAGGTTCCTTGCTGGAAACTTATTGTTGAATGAAGGTTCGTTGCCTGGAAACGTATTGTTGAATGAAGGTTCCTTGCCTGGGAGTGTATAAACACTATATATGATTATTCTTTGACATTCTAGTGAGAGTTGTTAACACGAAACGGCCGACTGTGAAACGATTTGTTCTACATTTTCTGTTATAGATACGTTGAATTGTAGTTACGTCGTTGAGTAATAAAGTGACGTCGCAAGAAGACGCCTCGAGGTGTTATTTCATGACACTTTATATACGGTATCAATTTTTAGGAGTAAAATGCTTGATCATATTTAAGACAAAACATTTCTCTTACCTTGAAGAAGGATTCAGGCCGTTCCTTCGAAACCACGATATCCAGTTACCGAGCTACATATCGCGGCAATAAAAAATCAGTCAATCCTGAATCGAACGCAGTGAGAGAGTCGAATTTGGGACAGGATCATTAAGTCGGTGGGCCACCTCACACTAGGACACCAGGTCTCAAGAATACAAAACTTTGTTACACAAAAATTGTCAAAGAGCGTAACCAGAAAACTTGTAATTAGTGCAGTACTAAAGCGGTATACTTCTGCTAACAGAAATAAAGCGATTCTAAACATTAAGGATACACATTTTCATTAATTCTTTATAATCTTTCTCCTTACGTACTTTTGGTACCGTTTAACATTCCCCTGGAATTTAAATAAATTGTAAACCCAATTTTAAGAACTTCATATTTACTGCGAATGGACTATGTCTCTCCAGCATAGCTAAGAAGGCAAGACACAAAGGGCTGAATGTCACAGCACGAGGTTTTACAGTTACTGCATTACACGGAGCGGTAAGTTGTATGGAAAAGCAGACCCGACGTTTCAGTAGCGTAGTTAGTTTTTCTGTACTAGGGCGAGGAGTTGCGTTACTGCGCTCAGAACGGGCCACGTTAATGCTAGAAATGCTGCGGAACGGAAGTGGGCGAGTTCGATTGGTCTGCCTTAGGTTTCTCAACAGTAACTAAACCATACGTGGTCATGCTGTGTAGACTTGCTTTCGCAGTTTTGAGGGCTGCATACAGCGAAGGTGAAATTTCCAGTTTACTTTAATTGGTTCCTCAAGCGTGTTTAGAAACACAACCCACCCGAGTTAAAGTACATCAGTTTTTATTTTAGTCTTCGCTGCGTATTTGATGTCGCAATCCACTCTGCGTTCAAAATATTTTCTAAATAGAATTACTTTCATAAACCTCAAGAAGTGTGCATGAAGCCCCTACCTCTTATCCCTCCAGCGCAATCCACAAGCGTCCCAACTCAGGGCTGACGGCCGACTGATTGATCTGCAGTGCGGTATGATCACAGCATATGCACCATGTCCAAAGTAGAACAGAAATTTCCCTCTTTAGACAAAATTCAAATTGAAGGCGGGTGCGTTCAACTGTTTCACAAATATTGCAGCGCAACATATGTTCGCATTTTTCGATAACCTCTATGAGATGAGCACTTCTTTACTAAATGTTGTCATAAAATGACTTCTGGGCTAGTCGAACCCATGTTCTCTCAAAATTCCTGCCTTATTCTGTGTGTAGAGTAATTGAACCGGTCCATAAAGAGAATTCTTGTCGATCAGATAACGTGAGAACATTTCTTCTCCCCAATTTGAAATTTGTTGCGAAAGCGAATGGCCGGAACTTCTGTCTGTGGAGGGGCCTGGCGAGAATTTCTCAAGAAGCTGCGCTTCGTAATGCAATGAACAGTTTCCCACCCGAAACATTTTCACGATAACATTTTCCTAATTCCTTTGCCTCATCTTTATCCACATCCGTGTTTGCTCCTCTATAATTAAAAAGTGGGGGGGGGGGGCTCGCTGTAGCGTAGTTGGTTGAGGCACTCTGATACAAGCCGGGTGTTCGCGGTTTTGATTCCCGATGAGGTCACTGGACTTTTTCAACTGACCTAATTCTTCCAGCCTCACTGTGGTCCTGAGGTTCACTCAGCCTCTAACAGAAATGAGTACCGGAAATCTTCCTGTAGTAAAGGGCGGCCGGCGCGTAAGACTGACAATCTCACCGCCATCTGTGAGCAGAGATTGTCTAGATAATGTGGGAGCCTCAACGTCTCACAACCCTATGGGCCTTCACGGCCTGTTACAGGGATAGCTTTATCCTTTTTTACAAATAAAAAATGCCAAACAGCTGTGTGATGCAGAATCTCACAACACCCATAGCTTTATTCCCAAAATGTGATGGTGTTTGTTGGGTAAATGCTGGAGTAGCTGAGTTGTTTTATAGCTTAAAGGGATTTTATTGACGCTAAGGTGCCAATGATGAATTCAGGGTTGCAGCACTATGCTATTTAAATATTTTATTAGAGGCTTGACTTTTGTTCAGATATTACATTCAGGTACTGCAGGGCCAGCAGGATTTCTATTGTCAAATAAATTGCAAAGTCTAGTAAAGTAAGTAACGATATCCCTGTAACAGGCCATGGAGGCCCATAGGGTTGTGAGACGTCGAGGCTTCAACATTTTCTACGCAATTAGCCTACAGATGACGATGAGATTGTCAGCCTAACGTGCCGACCGCCCTTCACTCCCATGAAGATTCCTGGTACTCATTTCTGTTAGGGGCTGAGTCGACCCCAGGACTATAATGCGGATGGAAGGATTAGGTCAACTTAAAAAGACCAGTGACCTCCTCGGGACTTCAACCCGCGACCTTGCGGCTTGTAGCACAGTGCCTCAACCAACTACGCTACTGCGTGCCCCTTGTAAATTCTAGTATGATTTTGAAAACATTATAGGAAAATATTTTGGAAATCCATGATAAAAATTCTGAAGTACTTGATAACCAGCAAGAGGCGACTGCGGCACGTCTAATTATATCAATGTTAATAATGCGGTACAAATATTTTGTTTCGCCGTCCGTAACATTTCCCTAAAATAGCATATCTGTTGACTTCTGTCACAAATTGTCGTCGGGATGCTAGCTTACGTCACGGAGCATGGGGCGAGACTGAGTCCACTTGTAACGTCGGCCACTGTTTGGCCTACTGTACCAGCCTGAACTGACAGATGATGATGAATATGCAGCAGTCGCTGGAATGAGAATTGGCAGGGGAAACCGAAATACTCGGAGAAAAACTGACCCAGTGCCACTTTGTCAACCACGTGACCCCGGCAGTGGGGAGACTGCGCCTAACCGCCTGGGCTGTTTACTGCTTACTTACAGCGCCCCACTCTTGCGACCCGTCCAATAACACTGCATTCTTCATGATTACAGAAGTTTTTACAAATTAAATTCGACGCAATTAAACGCTTTCTAGCGAACCGCTTGAATACTGCCTTCCAGGCACTCTCTTTCTATTAAAGTTTCGGAATAAAATTTTGTTGAATTTTCACATGTCTCCTTCGTGATACATGTCACAATCCTTGCTTTCACACTTCCAACAGCATCACGAACTATACGACACACACTCCATAATCGTCTCATTAATTCTGTCACAGTTACAAATCTTCAGCTCACAACTTCCTTTTATTGTTGTGCCACGACTCCTGAAAGCCGGAAAAGTGGAGTCAGACCGGAAGTTGATTTCCTAGGCAACGAGTATTAACAGAGCTCGTTCTCGTGACGCGTTACCATGGGACTATTATACATGCATTTCCATGGAAACACTCTCTAGGCATAAAGGTTACTGCGGAACTGGAGGTGTTTCCATGGTAACGCGTGCCGAGGCAGGCGATTGCCGCAGATACGAAATACAGAAATCTTCGAGGCGGTGTCTCCTATCACGGCCGCCTAACAGCTGTAACCAGAAGTCAGCAGAGAACAGAGTGGTAGGAGCCGGCGAAAAAGAGAGTAAAATACGGTCCGAGTCCCATGGGACTCGAGGATGACTGCCCTGACGACACCAGCAGCAATTGTAAGAGAGAGACCCGTCTTCTCGTCAGAGAAGCCCCATATCAACAAACCCGCAACTGTCTCACAGTAATAATAATTTGGTTGTAAACCCAGATGGGTGCTTTATTCCAAGACAGACTGGCCAACTGACCGTCGGTCGTAACTTGAGGTTCAGCCTCAGACTCAGAAGTGAGCAGTACTTAGCTGACACACATGTCAGAAGAAATAAGTCGTAGGCGAAGTCTGCAGTACATGTGGCGTAGCTACAGCAGCAAACTTTACGGTGTTGTCATGGAAGGTGTAATAATTAATCGTAGTTCCGCTGGCGAAGGACCAACAAATCGACTAAGCGAAATCTACTTACTTACTTACTAATGGAGCTGAGCCCTTCTGGAGAAGCCGCCAATTCTGCAGCTGCTCAAGAACTTCCCAGCATTTTATGGAACCCGAACGTTCATTACCGTGTTCACAAGAGCCCTCCACTGGTCCCTACCCTGAGCCACATCAATGGAATCCATAACATCCAATCCTCTCTCTCTAAGATCCATTTCAATATTGTCCACGCACCTACCCCTTGGTCTTCCAAGCGGTCCCTTTCCTTCTGTCTTTCCCACCAATATCGTATATGCAATCCTCGTCTCCCCATTCGTACAACATGCTCTTCCAATCTCATCCTCCTTGACTTGATCATTCTAATTATGCTTGGGGAAGAGCACAAATTATGGAGCTCCTCATTATGTAGTTCTCTCCAACCCGTCACTGCATATCTCAGGTTGCGGATGGAGACACCCTCCAGTTACGGTGGGCAGCTGAGGATATACTGAACAAGAAGTCGCGGACAGTGGACAAGGGGTTGTCCTCCAGCTTGGATGTTGGGCGTGGGGCTAACAACTCTTCACCGTAAGAAATAATCCAGTTACGAAACTGAAACCCACGTCTATAGTCACTAATACACATGACAATATCCTTATAGTACATACCGAGAAAGCGAAACGTGTTTCGTCAGGAAGCACTATCCATAATAACGTAAATTTTGTTAGACTTCCTCTCTTCCAAGACACGGAAATAAATACAACGCATCCCGACAAATATATCTCACAATTTTTTTAATTCTTCGTAATTTCCCTCTAAAATGAAGCCTGGCGCTATGGCACCCATTTTGTTTGTGAGGTACAGTGTCCAGTGGTATGATGACAGAAAGATTGGAATGGATTTGGAAGGAAGTTGTCGTGGCGTAATTGCGGTACTACATCGGCATTTTGATAGGGAGACTGAGGAAAACCGCTAAACACCTCATTCATGAGAGGCCGTGCCCATACTGAGATGCGAATCGAGAACCTCCCGAACACAAACGAAGGCAGGTTGCTGCTGAATCAGCTGGTTCATCCGTAGTCACGTTAAGCGGTAAATAGACTGAGCGTGTAGTAGGTAGAGAAAGGTGTAAGCTCCATGTTGCTATATAGGCAGGGAGAGCAACAGAAATTGCAACAAAGTTTCCGTCTTGCAACACACGTGACTTTATTGCTAATTATAACTCAGTGCAAAACAAATTCTCCGAGAATTCTTTGGTCCCTAATAACCCGTTTCAATCTCATCCTCAACACACGAAACCCCGGAGAAACAGCTTCATAATTTAGAAAGGAAATGTAATAAAAACAAGTGTTTGCATAAAATATGTGGGCACTAGACTCTTCTGTACGGTACGCTATTTGAAACACAGTACACCTGCATCACAGAGCGAGTGCCCCGGTTTCAGGACAAGACGCATTCTGATTGGTCGCGAAGCCTGGCTGTTGCAGCAGTCGTCACAGTTGAATTAGTTTACATAATTATTGGACATCTACACGAATTATCAAAGGATTCTCCTGAGGAAAAGTTAATTATATCAGTAGTTAAAATATTATTTTCTTTAACGAAAGTGCGTAGCGAGCGTGTTACTTGTAACGCAAGGAAGTACTCAACAGTTCCTCTAGGAGAGGGTGGGCCTTGGTGCCCCAAGTCAAATGATTCCAGATCTTACAAAAGTTATTCATATTGTATTGTCCTTATTATTATGTGTATGAAATCAAAATTCTCAAGGTCCCGCCAGTAAAATTACTGAGCTGGCTCCTGATGTCATACGGATATAAGCTAAAACGTGTTCACGAGTATCACACATGGGGTGTAATTACAAAAAGAGTAACCGGAAATGAAGAGCGCGAGGAATGTTTTAAATATCTGCAGACCACTTCCGGCAGCTCCTCCACTGACACCTGCCCTGTGTTCTCTCGGTATATCAGTGAAAGTTTGTTACATTTTAATAATATCACCACTTGAGCATGGGTGACGCCAGGCCAAGCTTAGTCAAATTGGGACACTTCAGCATTACCAATGCCCAAGTACCCGCAACAGTCACGTTTCTAAATCCACCTGCCCCTACTATTGTTGCGCTGCTTGGTCCATGCCCACAATGCTCAGTACGTTCAGAATGACGTAGAGATGCAGGATAGAGCTGAAATCAAATGGTCCCCACTTATGTCTTAATCTGAACTTCTTCAGGTCTCGGACATGTGCTAATCCCGGCGAATGTTTCTGTATATACGTACTATGTGACTCTAACTGTGAGGGCATTAAGAACGGTACAATAATTAATTAAGTCACCCGTGTTCATGTGCCAACCATTACGATTTGTATGTTTGTAAGAGTTGTACCCAAACGTCTAATGACATAACTGAACCTAATTAACGTACAGGAACACCCGAAAATCGAGAGTGAAACCATATATCTCAGTTCGCCCAGTCTGAAATGTCCTCGGTAAAGAAACGGAACATCACGTGTCTTATATTTGGGATTTCTTAACCAATAACTTTGCATTTGAAATGACTCCAAGAAATTCCGCTACTGAAGGAAGACATATTGTAAGGTTCCCTACTACAGATCGATTGGAGGGAACAAGATTACATCCTGAATTTTTGGAAAACCCGAAAGTAGCTGTTAGCATAGCTGTTAGTTGAAACTGTTGTTTCTGCAAAGTTCAGGGAAAGCAGGTTTCTCATCTTCAGCAAGTGCTCTACGCTCCCATCGTCCACGCGTAGTAGTGGAAGTGTAGTGTAGTGTAGTGCAGCCAGAGTGGAAGCAAAATTCTTCGAGCTGTGTCAAAATTTGAATTCTTTCCACAAGGAGTTGCACGCACCTGGGACGTTGTAGAGGAAGCAGGATCAGAGAATTAATGTTTGGGATGGCATACAGCAACTTAATTAAGAGTTCTTGCACGAAACCAGATTTCGTGACACATAAATGGCATGTAGATATGCAAGGCAGAAGTACAGCTTTCATCATATTTCCGCAGACGCCCTCATGAACTTGTCAGTCAAGAATTCTGCTGATCAGGGGGCGAGGATCGTGGTGGTGATAATGTTCGATGAGTTTCATGAATTCGTGGGCCGCACCATAAATAACGACCTCTGATACTATGGGCACGGTTAGGGAGGCGAGGTGTGCGCGCACAAGGACACACTCTTCCTCCACAGACTTGACCTCTTGGAGACAGCTACTCCGGCCCGTAACAGCAGCTGAGCGTAGTCTGTGGGTCCACTTGACCCCCGCCTCTCGCACCGTATTGCACACGTTACAGTACAATATGTATTGTAGACTTGGGGGGTCTTTTCTTCTGTTCATTGACACCTTCTGAGACAGACAAATGATTAGTTAGTGTTTTTCCTGTTCTTGGTGAACAAATTGCTGAGAACACAATTTGAGCGACATCAACGTGTCCTGCAACTTTTTCAAAATTATCATCTCTTTCCACGAACATAAGATGCAGTTGCATGGTGGAAAGCCATTAAAATTGCTTGAATATTATCTAAATTTTTGGGCACACGCCATACGTCAGGGGGCATTACTGGGGGAAAAGTGCTGTACTGTTCGGCCTCTGCCTTCCGGCACTTCGTCTTTGGTGAGGTCGTGCAGAACACAGAAGTTCCTTCAGCCTTAAATCTATACTGAGAGGTCGTCAGGAACGTCTGTATGAGTACACTACACAGACTGTATAGGAGAGTTACTTCACCTCGATGCTGGCTGTACTTTCATGGAAAGGGAGTATATATTTGCTTCTCTTTAAGAACTAGACAGAAGTGAGCAAAGAAATTTAATGCCTCTGCATTAGAAGAGGATACAAACGTGGGAGATGGGTTGAAGTGGCAAGTTTTGAGAAAAGTGTAAAGAGCTTGCGAGGTTTTCATTTCTTGAGAATGTAACCGTTTTCAATGCATGGAAGACCTAAGGAACAAAGCAGCTTAGCGTTAACAAGTTCGCAGCATTGTCAGGATTTAGAGACTGGCCACGGGGTTTGGACTGGTAATTGCATTTACTGAGGGTTTGTGATTCGTAACGACCAGTAATCATAGGGCTCATAGAATAGGAACCAGTGACGGGCTCTTGTGTACACGGTAATGAAGCTTCGGAATTTATAAAAATATTCGGAAATTCTTGAGTAGCTGCACAACTGGCGGACTCTCAAGAATGACTCACCTCCATGAACTTAATTCAGTCTTCTAGAGTGCATTCCGTTGTGTTAACGTGTATGACTTTCTTGATTTTCCGTGTCAACATAACAACTATCATCTGTCGTCGTTGTGTTGAAACGGAAGAACAAGAAAGAAACATTAGTTAGTTAGGGCCAAATGGTTGACAATCACAGCGCCTGTTACTAAAATACAAATATTTGTGTCGATTAGTGCACGCCATGGAGCGGTAAGTTGTTTCGAAAGCAGCAGAATCTCGGTTTCACTGCCAAACACTAGTTTGCTGCACTTTCCGTGATGGGACGAGGGGCTGCATTAGTCAGAGTGCATCACTTTGATGCTCGGAACGGCGTGAAGCACAGTGAGACGTCACAGTAAATGGGAAAGGTAGAC